CGATCGTGTCAATTCCTTCGGAGAAACAGATTCAGTTTCCCAACAAACGGTAACTCGAACAGATCCTCATAATTTCAAAACATTTATCTTTCAAATTTTATCCAACGTTCTTTTCATCCCCCGGTTATTTTAAGTGAAATTCAAGGCTGGAATGATGATGTCGTGTTCTCCCCGAGCACAAGACGGAGAACTACAGCTCACCTCTGAGGAGGTTCATCGCAGCGCAGCAGAGCGTCAACGAGGCCACCGTCTGCCGTTGTTCCCATCGCTGCGTCAACGCAATTTTCTTTATTATTTATATCCACTTGGTCTGCTTTACGGCATGCTTGAATTTTGGGGTCAACTTTCCCCCTCGAGACGTACAAGGCAGAATTTGACTCGCGGTCCCAAGTAGTTTCTGATGCAGACGTTACCATGTCGGCTGCCATACAAGACTTTTCACGGTCACTTAAACTTGCATGAAGTTCCACTTCACAGGGAGATGATAAATCACTTAGGAAATATTTCCCAGCTTTTTGCTTCGAAAGTTTCTTATTCTGCTTCCGCTCTATCAAATCCACTTCCTCAAATTTATGTCTGGACTCAGCAGTAACATGATAAACTTTTCCCACTACCTTCTCAGATGAGCGTCTTTTAACATCATCAAGCGTGAAGCAGTTTTCAGTTTTGCCGGACTTGCCGGACATTTCCTGGAAAAGTTTTAGGAGCAAATCTGGGTTGCCAGATTTGCAGTCAACGACGCAGCGCAGCAGGAGGTTCAATGTGTAGATGTCAGGCCTGATCCTCGCCGCACGCATCTTCTGCCACAACTGCAACAACAGGGAACATCAAACTCAATTGATTTTCCCTTGACTCTGTAGAATATTGTTCGTGTGAGACACAACTGAGCAACTGCTGCATCGACTCAAGGCAAGGAGTGAATCCGCTTGAGTGACTTTAACTGTAGAGCACACCATTGGCTCGGGTAAGTAGAACTGTACAGCGCACCACTGGCACGAGCGACGTATAAGGGCATGTAAATAATTCGTGAATGTCGGCAGCAACTTAGAACTGGAATGCCAAGCCATCACCTGACGGAGGTTTGGACACGATTTTCAGTGACAACCGGCACCAGTTTTAATTAAATGAAGTATTTAAGTTAATTAGGGTTCGTTTATTCTTCAACTGTTGTCAGCAAGGTCAAATATATTTAAAGAGTGGCAACTCTACTCTAGTAACCATTCAAAGTCAGGCTCGGTGAAGTAGTAATACAGGAATAGAAATGGTAGCTACAGCGACATGTTCGCAAGTTTGCATGCAAGTGTTGGAGCTGTCTTAATCTGCGTGGACGATTATGTGGTTTGGCTACGACTGACTCATGACATGCTTGAGGCACTTATATAACTCACTACTATGGCGTCAAAGAAGGTGGCGTGGGTGAAGCTACTGAAGGTATGGATGATGACGCATAAACTTAAGTTGTTTCATCATGTAACTTAACTGAGGCACTCACGAGAAGGGCGTGTCGGAAGCCTGCCTCGCGGTCCGAGACGCAGGCGTTCAGGAGGCAGTTGAAGGAACGCGTCGAGGCGGTGTAGGCGCCGCCCGCCTGCAGCTCATCGAACACCTCGAACGCTGTCTCCACCGCACCACACCGCCCGAACGCTGCAACACCACGACAGTTATAACGTCTCCACCGCACCGCCCGAACGCTGCAACACCACGACAGTTATAACGTCTCCACTGCACCGCCCGAACGCTGCAACACCACGACAGTTATAACGTCTCCACTGCACCGCCCGAACGCTGCAACACCACGACAGTTATAACGTCTCCACCGCACCGCCCGAACGCTGCAACACCACGACAGTTATAACGTCTCCACTGCACCGCCCGAACGCTGCAACACCACGACAGTTATAACGTCTCCACTGCACCGCCCGAACGCTGCAACACCACGACAGTTATAACGTCTCCACCGCACCGCCCGAACGCTGCAACACCACGACAGTTATAACGTCTCCACTGCACCGCCCGAACGCTGCAACACCACGACAGTTATAACGTCTCCACTGCACCGCCCGAACGCTGCAACACCACGACAGTTATAACGTCTCCACCGCACCGCCCGAACGCTGCAACACCACGACAGTTATAACGTCTCCACTGCACCGCCCGAACGCTGCAACACCACGACAGTTATAACGTCTCCACTGCACCGCCCGAACGCTGCAACACCACGACAGTTATAACGTCTCCACCGCACCGCCCGAACGCTGCAACACCACGACAGTTATAACGTCTCCACTGCACCGCCCGAACGCTGCAACACCACGACAGTTATAACGTCTCCACTGCACCGCCCGAACGCTGCAACACCACGACAGTTATAACGTCTCCACCGCACCGCCCGAACGCTGCAACACCACGACAGTTATAACGTCTCCACTGCACCGCCCGNCCTACGAGCACGTGTTCACGTGCCTACGAGCACGTGTTCACGTGCCTACGAGCACGTGTTCACGTGCCTACGAGCACGTGTTCACGTGCCTATGAGCATGGCGTGGTAGTTCATGTGCGACGGGATGACGCCGCGCAGGCGCATCTGTTCCCTGAGGCGCATGATGCGCGGCGCGTGGCGCGTGGGGTGCGCGTCGTTGGCGCACGCGATGAAGAGGTAGGAGTACAGCAGCGGCTTGGGGGTGTGGCCGCGACGCACGAGCTGCACAAACAATATGACTTAGGATAACGGGGCCAAGATAACGGGGAAAGATAACAGGGCCAAGATAACACGTGTTAACATTGGAGATAATAATGGCTGGATGTCGGCTGTGACGACCAGAGAAATTTCAGGATTCCTTACAACAGGAGCCATAAATCGATAATAAACCCAAGTATGAAACTCAAAGCAAGACTAACCTGAGAGAAAAGATCGAAAGCTTTATCAGCGAGTCCGAGTTTGGCTGCGGCGCCGATGAGGAGCCTGTAGTGGTAGGGGATGGGACGAACCTTCTTGCTAGGCATCTCCTCCTCCAGGAGACCGAGGGCGTCAGCAAACTAAAACATGAGCCACATTAAAGGACGTCTTGACGACTTGGCTAGACTTAGTAACCTGACTAACCGAGATTGCCAAGATATACCGTGAATATATCAGTGCCTGTCTCTTATACACATCTAGATGTGTATAAGAGACAGGGGGAAGACTGTGCGAGGTTCCCCCATTTAATAACCGAGCCACGGCCAGAGTACAGACTCTCCGTGAGGGATCACTGTCATTTGTAGGACCGAGGCTCTTTAATGCCCAGCCAAAAGCGCTGAGAGGAGGGGAGTATACCCTTACAACATTCAAGAGACGACTGGACAAGTGGTTGAGAAAGATCCCGGATTGTCCAGTACTGGGAAACTACCCTCAGCAAGTGACAAGCAACAGCATCTTGCATCAGCTGGCCCAAAGGAGGGCAAATAGACGGAACACGTCCAACGTTACATCCGGGACCCGAGGGCGGGGTGACCTGCCTAGCGTTGACTCGGAGACGGAGGACGACGAAGGCGGCGCATCAGCGTGACCGGGGACTAGGAAGTCCCGAGCTCATCATAAGGTCACAAATAAGCTAAGAGCACAAAACAAATAACGATAATGGGACTGACTTTAGCGAGGTCGTATTGACCGCGACGGCAGCGCTTCTTGATGATCATGTTGCAGAGCGCCGTGCTGGGCGTCACACCAGCGCCTGCCATCGCCTTCAGCAGCGCCTGCAGGTACAGCTTAGCATGAGAGCTACCATAACCGCACACGCTCTACCATAAAAACAGTTATGAAGTGGTATATTGAATAGCCGTGAATTACATAATAATCCTAAAATCAAGGTAAAATATATTAGAACTGTCCAGAATGACTACTAGCTGAATAAATAATGCACTCAATATACTGTTTAGTCAGTTGAATTGAGGAGTTCAAAAAGTTGTTCCAAACCGATAAATTCATGTATAGATTAGGAAATAAAGATGGATATTAATTTATTGNGGTATTCAACCAAGTATTAAATTAAAATAATGCGGATTTATTGTTTTGTACGAATACTTTTTTCACCTGAAAAGTGAACATGTTGCATTGTTTTTTGTTGCATTGAGATTTAATTTCTTTTGATAGTATTTTTGAATACTATGCGTCTCTATACATAATTTAAATCACTTTTCCTGTTAAATTTGTGTACTTACATACAAGATGTGTATAAGAGACATGCTGCACACACATCAAGTGTACAGCCGTTACGATGCTGCTGCACACACATCAAGTGTACAGCCGTTACGATGCTGCTGCACACACATCAAGTGTACAGCCGTTACGATGGTGCTGCACACACATCAAGTGTACAGCAGTTACGATGCTGCTGCACACACATCAAGTGTACAGCAGTTACGATGCTGCTGCACACACATCAAGTGTACAGCCGTTACGATGTACGTGACGTGTTGTCACTTCAGCGGCGAGTCAAGGCTGAAGAATGACGCTCTAGTAGCGCTGGAATTTTATATCGACTCAGAATTATTCCTGCAGTTCAATTAATTTTCTTTACATGACAGCTTGATCAACATACGCCATAATCTGTGGATTACTTGAATTTCTTGACAGTATCACGGCGTCCAAGTAGGTACTCAATTCCAAATGCTGCAGCGATCAAATCATGAATAATTTTGTTCTCAACTGCGATTGTTCAGACATGTTAAACAGCCACAGCTCGGAAGGGTTTGTATACAACACAATGGCTGGGTGAACTTGGTGCTCAGGGCACATACTTTCAAAAAAGTTAAGAGATCGTAAGTTCATCAGCCAATCATTGACAGCCTTGCAAGCAAAATCCACCAATCATAGACAAGAAAATGGAGCGTAAATACTTACGTTCACGTATTGTGCTCAGAGCGTCCCCCAGTAGCCAGGGTGGCTTGACTCACCAGGGATTTGGTCCAGGGACGCAGCAGCGCGTGGAGGCACCAGTAGAGCCACGAGAGACTTGACTCACCAGGGATTTGGTCCAGGGACGCAGCAGCGCGTGGAGGCACCAGTAGAGCCACGAGTGCCGCGTCAGGCCGCTGCTCACCAGGTTGCCGGGGTGGACAGCGTAGCTGCGCACGCCGTGGCAGCCTGCGACACAGACATGGCCATACATGGGGCTTTGGCGGCTCAGATACGGGCTTTGGCGGCTCATATATGGGCTTTGGGGGCTCATAAATGGACTTAGTGGGCTCAAGAGCTCATAAATGGGTTAGGCACGGCAATGAAAAGTATACGCTCGCCAAGAAAACAACCAACAATTAACTGAAGGAGGTAGTAACATTAAATGAAACATAGATTTAAGAAAATAATTGAATGAGGAAATCTAAGGAAATATGTCTTATGAATTAACAAGCCTCTTAAATACACATTTGACTGATGGACATGCATCTCCCGAAGAGCTCGACCTCGAGTAATGAGAGCATTATAACAGAAGACGATGAAGAAAAACTTGACTAAGCTACAAACAAGGAAGCGCTTACCGGGTTGCATCCATTGGCCACAAACTAGCCTTGTAGCCATTGCTAAGCACAAACATTCACAGCTACACTTAGCTTCAGAGCTAGTAAGCCGCAGACCGCGCTACAAACACCGCAAGTCATACCAGTTCCGCAACGACTTTATCACTGACTTTAAGCCACAGCGTAGTTACGGTTCCAGCCAGTATAGTCTTCACGGAGACTAAACCCCAACATGCGCCTACTGTCACACTTAACCCCCATTGATTAGAGTCCTAGAAAATACTCAGCCATTACAAAGTTTCAGAAATATTACTTGGTCCCATAAATTGCTCAGTAGTCATTCATAAGTTATCAAAAAGTCATGAAATAAAAAAAATTACTATCAGATATTTCCTTCATATCAAATTCAATTTGTGATTTATGCAATTTTTCTAAATACTTAATCAGTCCTTTTTTTAGCAAATTTTTGTCACATGACTGCAAAAGAAATAAACCTCACAGAGTTTTTCTTTTCAACTATGTTATATTAGGCCTACCAAAATTGTAGCTTACGACTTGGGTGTTAATTTCATTTACAAACTGTAGTTTCTTAATGTAAAATAGAAAAAGCACCACATTAGTCCTCAGGAAAAATTTTTTTGTGATATTTACATACACTATGCTTCTTAAGACTATATCTTCATGTTAGATTTTATTTCTTCTGTTAACCAACTCCAAAGTCCATAAAAAATTTATATGAAAATTACTCATTGCTAAACACCTACAGTCAAGTGTGGAATGAGTGGAGCAAAGTCGATAAACTCTGGTCAGTTTTGCCATGTAACCAGTTGATATTTAGGCTTCCTAAATAAACTCAAACCTTATAATACTTAAAAAAGAAACGCTGGTAATGGAGGAAGAAAAAAATACTCTGTGTAAAATTTGTAAAAACATAATGAGAGAGAATTTTTTGTAATGGGTGTATTCTAGTACATTAGGTTTTTATTGAAGAACATGTTGATTCTTTTAAATTAAATTTTGCATCATGTAGCTTTAACAAACTAACAATACTATCCTGTTAATTTTTGCACATGTATGTACAATATTGTAGAAGCCTCAAGATTTGGTACAAATTTCAAAGCACAAAGTCAAACAAGGAGTTCCAATTTTTCCAAAGCTATAAGGAAAAAAACTGAAAATTGCTTTTTAGAGGCTTGCATTACCATATATGATTTTTTTGAGAAACAAGAAAACAGCAAAGAACTGCGTTAGTTGATTCAATAAAATTTTTTCATATATCTATAGTCTCTGACAGAAATGTTTTACCGGTACTGTTTTTTTGAATTGTGATACATGAAGTTAATGATGCACTGTATACAAATTTGGCAAGTATTAGAACAAAATTTATTGCAAATGTAATAATAGAGGGTAATACTCTCCAGCATCAAATTTTAATGATCAACATTAATGAGAAGGAAACTGAAGCTAGGAATAGATGAAAAAAGTAAAAAGTAAAAATAGCCATTTCACCAGTTTTTTCTTCAAATAAAACCCAAAGGTTCTTTGTAAAATCCAAGTGGGTTGAGCAAGGAATATATAAGTGATGATATTATTGTGCAATGCTGGCCTGTAACATGCATGTCTGTTCACCCACCAAAGTTGCGATGTATTTCAAATGCGGCGAGAATATTGCAGAGCTTGGCGTTGTTATAAGCAAGTATTGGAGAGAAGCGTTCACTTCTGAGGGGGGACAGAAAGCGCTCAGTCACATCCTCGGTGTCCTGCAGGCTGGCGAACCTATAAATGAGAGCAGTTATAAATGAGAGCAGTTAAAAATGAGAACAGTTATAAATGAGAGCAGTAATAAATGAGAGCAGTTAAAAATGAGAGCAGTTATAAATGAGAGCAGGTATAAATGAGAGCAGTTATAAATTAGAGCAGTTATAAATGAGAGCAGTTACAAACAAGAGCAGTTATAGCAGAGTCTATACAGTTGGTTTGAAATTTTTATTTCATTTGCCAGCAATTATTGAACCACCAAAGAGCCAAAATTTCCCAAAGCTTGAGTGTAAAATCATCAAAATGACGGCTAAAGTGCAGCATAGTCCAGCATGGCTGAGTTGCTCACCTGTGACTCTCAGCTGCCAGCCACACCACCCTGGCCTGGTCGCGACGCAGGGTCGGCAGCAGCAGCTGGCACAAGTAGAAGTGGCTCAGATGGTTCACTTGGAACGTCTCTTCAATGCCATCTTTGGTCAGCTGATGCCCGCCGCCAAACGTGCCAGCATTAAGTATTAATATGTTCACAGATCTAAAAAAGACAATGGCTGGTAATATAATAATGGGCAATAATATAATGGTCAGCTATTCTTACACAAATGGATTCAAGAGACCATCATAGCATGGTCTTATACATAACTAATGAAAACAAACACAGAAATAATCAGTGTGAATACCAAAGGTAAAAATTAATAGCGATATAGAAGAAGAAAAAGCCAACATATAGAAATCAATTAAATCACAAGCCCAGATATATTCACACAAAAAATATAGGTCAAGAGTTGGATTAAACAAACAACCTGTGGGCCTTCATATATTCTGTTACAAAATCCTTCACTGACTGCAGAGAACTCAAGTCAAGTTCCATGGCATGGCAAGCAGCAAATGGCCTCTGCTTCAAGATATTTTTTATGGCATCGTTGGCTTTCTTCAGATGACGGCAAGCAAGGATCACTTGGCAGCCATGAAATGCCAGACTGCGTGCAGTTTCAAAGCCTGAAAAGTTGAGGCTTTTATCAGCTTGCAAGAGCCTTACACTTGGCTAATATTTAGGACAAAATACAAATCTTTTCAAGTGCTCAAGTTATCACTTCATTGTTACAGTATATACGGTACTCATAGTTCAATGCAATAAGAGACTGAGAAGAATTAACTCACCTATACCACAGTTTGCCCCAGTAACTATAGCCTTTAGTCCACTCAAGTTCTGGCCATGAAGTATCTACATCAAAATAAAAGATAAGTTTAGTAAAGACTTCTTCACACAAATAAAATATTATACAACCAACAGTAATAATCTAAACTATTAATCAAATTTCTCTGAAAAACATGAAGGCTTTGCTCATCAAAATTAATTCAATTACTTAATGCATTTTCAAAACATCCTTAAATCTTAAAGTTTTCTTCTAGTCTGCTGATAGTTTTTTAAACATCTCTTTAGTTCAACATTGAAGCGTCATGAACGTAGCAAATGTTAGTTTTGAAATTTGAACCCTCTGACAAAATCAATTTGATCAAGAATTTAAAAGCAAAGAAAACAGCCACAAAATCTTTGCCTTGCTTTTATTTTTTTGATAAATTTGCGATTTGAGCAATCAAGTGATCTTAATACTTCTAGCTGATCAATTTTATCATTTACCTTTGATACAATACAAAACTAAAATAAAAATGCAAATGAGGTGAAACTTCAGTCACAGTGCTCAGGTTATCTCAAAGGCAGTAGAAGATGTGCTGTCAGTAATCAGGTTATCTCAAAGGCAGTGAAAGGACGGCTACCTACCTATCAATATATTACATATGGTTATATATTAAACAACAAAGGCAGTAGAAGATGTGCTGTCAGTAATCAGGTTATCTCAAAGGCAGTGAAAGGACGGCTACCTACCTATCACAATTTTGCGGTTATCTTAAAGGCAGTGGAAGAAGTGCTGTAACAGTGTTCAAGTTTATCAAAAGCAGTCAGTGCTGTCACTGAGTTACCTGCAAGCCAGTGGAGGAGGCAGTGCTGTCACTGAGTTACCTGCAAGCCAGTGGAGGAGGCAGTGCTGTCACTGAGTTACCTGCAAGCCAGTGGAGGAGGCAGTGCTGTCACTGAGTTACCTGCAAGCCAGTGGAGCAGGCAGTGCTGTCACTGAATTACCTGCAAGCCAGTGGAGGACGCAGTGCTGCCACTGAGTTACCTGCAAGCCAGTGGAGGAGGCATCATAGCGCTGCCTGAGATTGTGCAGGCCGGAAGTTTCTTCAGTGGCGAAGGCAAGCCTGGGGTCCACGTAGGTGCTTCTCTGGGAGTCCTTGTGGATGAATTTTACACCACCATTTTCCACAATTTTCTCCCAGCCCAGGGGCAAAACTGAATTTCACACAATGAAAATTTTAAATAATAAAGCCAGAATTTCATTTAGAAAACACATATATAGGTACCATACTATAATGTTCAAATTATCAACTATGTTCATAGATTTAGATTATAAGAGAAACACATACGGTAATTTTGAGGAAACAAAACATTTAACATTAACAAGGATTTACAAGACAGTCAACAGCTGTGGTAACAAAATAGTACCATATTCAGATAAATAAAGAATACAATGAATAATAATAGAGATATTTGACTCTCTTATTCAATATTGAGTATGAGTTCATCACAAAAATATAATATACCATCTCAGGAGCATGCAGAAAACATGTCATAATTACCTCCAGACACGACTTTGGTCTTGCCTGTCCTGGGATGATTCCACTGTGTTGCTTTCAAGCCATGACTGAAAAACCGATTTTCACACGTGTGAGCATGGATGTAAGTTAAGCCTAAATATGGATGAATATAATTGGTAGATATTCTTCTTTTAATACTGCAATACTCACTTTTGTGGGAAAATTACTAACAGAAAATTCCCTGTAATTAACATCAATCATTATCAATTGATTGGGAGAATACAGTGGGGGGAAATAAATATTCGTACACTTGAAAAATCGTATTTTAATGTATGTAAGTACACAAACATAACAGGAAAAGTGATTTAAATTATGTGTAGAGACGCATAGTATTCAAAAATACTATCAAAAGAAATTAAATCTCAATGCAACAAAAAACAATGCAACATGTTCACTTTTCAGGTGAAAAAAGTATTCGTACAAAACAATAAATCCGCATTATTTTAATTTAATACTTGGTTGAATACCCTTTATTCAGCTCAACATTAGAAATAGACTGGTATCTGTTGAGCTGAATAAAGGGTATTCAACCAAGTATTAAATTAAAATAATGCGGATTTATTGTTTTGTACAAATACTTTTTTCACCCGAAGAAGTTAACATGTTGCATTGTTTTTTGTTGCATTGAGATTTAATTTCTTTTGATAGTATTTTTGAATACTATGCATCTCTATACATAATTTAAATCACTTTTCCTGTTAAGTTTGTGTACTTACATACATTAAAATACAATTTTTCAAGTGTATGAATATTTATTTCCCCCCACTGTACATAACTTCAACAGATGTGAATTAACACAATTGAAATCTTCTGAATTTTGCATTAAAAAGTAGAACACAGAAATCAATGTAGCAAGAATCACATTGGTATATCTATACTGCACACATAAGCTCAAAATGAAAAATGCAGTATGACCTATTTGATTGATTGAGAACTGGAATGTTGCTGATTAGATTATTTACATATTATATCTCGAATTCAAACTCCTCATGATCAACAAGTCCTCAAAACACCGAGTAATTTCTTCCATTGGTTACAAACAAACTTGAGAATTTGGTTAAAATACATTGTTTCAAAAATTTTGGTACACAATTCATTAATGGAATAAAATCACAGGGAGCAAATGAAACTCAGCCCATTTCATCAGTAACAGATAACAGTGACCTAAATATTGCCATGCCTGACATGTGCAGATATACAGTACTCCACAATTTATGTCTAATAAAAGAAATGATCAAGGGAACTTCTTAAAATTTCTTAGGATTTCCCCAACATGGGAAAATAGTATAAAAAATATAATTTATGAGAAAAGTGAGGTTCATAATGTATAGACATGTCCAGTGAATAGTTTGGAGAGCTGCACTAGTTTCTCCCCCTGAGTGATATGCCAATGGTTGTGTTCCAGACTTGATGAAATCCTTAAAGGACCTGACACTGGAGCTCTCAGCAATGCAACAAAAAATCTAGCATATTTACATATACTACTATGGTACTGCTTTTACAACCTCAGCTCAAGCCACAGAAAGATGAAGAATTTGCAGCTGATGTCAGATCTTGTCATTGCAGTTGCAGTACATGAATAAATTTAAATTTATAATGAATTTCCTTAGTCAAGTTAAAAAGATTTTCTTTTAATTATTTGTAAATATTACTAATTAGGAATACCTATATGGTACAGGTCTTGAAGACTTGATTTAAAAGATTACTGGTCAATATTTTAATAGCACTAGCAAACAAATTTTAGCATCACTCAAATCAGTCCCTTATAAGGTTTACAAATTATTTGGAGTAAAATTTCGAGTTGGAATATAAATTATGCAGTTAAATTTTAGCAAATTCTCCTGCTTGCTTGTCTTAAATCATTTTTTGTTCATGTCATTCATTTTACAAGTTACTTTCTTCAAAATAATGATAGAATCATTTGACTAATTATAGAATGATTATAGATTACCTATATAGGTAATGGAACTAAATTACTATCGTTTCATTGTAATTTTAGCTCATGAACTCCAAAAGGCAAAGAAGTAAGAAAATCGTTAATAGAGGAATTATCAGAGGTGGGCAGTAGTGCTACATGTAGCGGCCACTACTAGCAGCCACTACATTTTCAGTAGCGGTAGCAGCGCTACATTTAAGCAATTGTAGCGGTAGCACCCGCTACATATTTAAGTAGCGATACAAGGTTTTGCCGCTACAGCGCTACTGCTACATTTATAGATAAAGCCTTTAGATTTTACTTAATAGTTTTTAAATATTATTTGAAAACCAGCATGATTCATACATAATATAAATTACAGAATAAAACTGTACGAAAGATTTCGGTGTAATGTTGTCAACTTCAGCCTGTTACTTGTGTCAACATGTTAGTTGTTACTTGTTAAGTCGTTACCAGAAAATTTTATAAGATTTAAAGCCGTCATTTTTACGGCTTTAAATCTTATAAAATTTTCTCATCAGTTTTCCAACCCTGTGACACCCATCTGTGAAGGACTTGGCCAGAAATAAGGACCTAATCATTTGTAAGCCAGATAAGGGCAAGGGCGTTGTATTAGTTGACCGTAATCGTTACAACAGTAGCCTTTCTACTCTCATTACAGACCCTTCCAAATTTATCGAAATTATGGATCCAATTGCTAAAACAATTTTGAAGATTGAGGACAAAATAAAGATTCTGCTGCACTTTCATCTGAAAATTACTTCAAACTTTATGCATCTGGCTCTTCCCCTGGTATTTTGTATGGCTTGCCCAAAATTCATAAGCCAGATTTTGCATTAAAATTTCAATTCCGCCCAATCTTTGCTGCTTACAATACTCCGAGCTTCAAACTTGCTAAATTTTTAGTTCCTGTTTTGAACTGTCTCACCACCAATCAGTATATGGTAGACAACACTTACATGTTTGTGGATCGCTTGAAAAATTTCTCTAATGTTCAGGACTTGACTATGGCTTCTTTTGATGTAGAAAATTTGTTTACCAATATACCCCTCCATGAAACTATCGATATCTGCCTAAGTTCTTTGTTTAAAAGTGTCAATGACTGTGTCATGGGTTTGAACCGCAACTGTTTTAAATCTCTTCTTGAATTATCTGTTTTAAACTCAGTTTTTGTATTTGCTGGCAAATTTTTTAGACAAATTGATGGTTTGGGCATGGGTCTTCCTCTCGGCCCTACTTTTGCAAACATTTTTATGTGTTTTCACGAGGCTACATGGCTGGCCAATTGTCCTCTTGATTTTAAGCCTCTATTCTATAACCGGTATGTTGATGACACTTTTTTGATTTTCAAGCATCCCTCTCATGTAGGCCTCTTTTTTGATTATCTTAATCTCCAGCACAAGTCCATCAAGTTTACCATGGAGCTAGAATCAAACAATAGTCTATCTTTTCTTGATTGCAATGACACAAAATCAAATGGCCGTTTTCAGACCTCTGTTTACCGAAAATCAACGTTTACCGGTTTATGCACCAGCTTCTTCAGCTTTTGTTCATTTCGTTTCAAATTAAATGGTATTCGAACGTTAATAAACAGAAGCTTTCGTATCTGCTCAACTTTCCATACTATGCACTCTGAATTTGAATTTTTACGCAGTACGTTTTCACTTAATGGGTTTCCGTCGCAATTGGTATATGCTCAAATTAAGAAATTTTTGTCTAAGCAATATTCTCAGGTTGTTCCCGAACGTGACCATAGGAATGCTGTTCATTAAAAATTCTAGAACACAGATAAATCAGTGATTAGTACAGTCAAGAATATAACGAAAATACTAAGCTGCAAAACCTACCTATTTACAATTTCAAGCGGGTAAGAGCTAAAAGCTAAATTCAAACTAGGACTCTGTTTAAAAATATACAATGATTCTAAAATGCGCAAATCAGAAACACCGGAACTGGAAGCTAAAACTTTGAAGTCGCTGTCAGAAACTGGAACATCGCACTGCTCGGCGTGAACCCGCAAAGCCAAATGAGGTGGGCGTGACAGTAAGTTACCAGTTCTACAACTCCTGCCCCTATGTTCTGCGACCCTAGAATAAAGATTGCGAGACGTCATCCCGACGTACGCAGATGCACATCGTGCACAACTATATTTATAAACTAGGGACGCTCGCATATGCAGAGGGAGAGTATCTTTGTACCTAAAAAAAGAACTGATTTTAAAATGGTTGACCAATATGACACGAAGATTAACATTTGCCAAATACTTAGAAAATAACAGTTTTAGCTCTCTTGACATAGTTTCGGATGCAGGGCCGAAATATGGAAGAGAGCAATAAACAACATCCCTATTGTCGCGCTCGGGAGCAACCTCATGGTACCGCTTGGACATGAATTTCTTTATTTGGGTAAACACCAGATTAGTCGGAAATNCAGAGCTTGGCGTTGTTATAAGCAAGTATTGGAGAGAAGCGTTCACTTCTGAGGGGGGACAGAAAGCGCTCAGTCACATCCTCGGTGTCCTGCAGGCTGGCGAACCTAACAAGTGAGTAAATGTGAACTCAGAACAATTCTATTCATCAGTGGAGATTATAATAAAGTTATGAATGAGAGCAGTGATAATGACAACAGTACTAAATGAGAGAAGTTATAAATGAGAGCAGTTATAATAACAACAGTACTAAATGAGAGCAGTTATAAATGAGAGCAGTTATAAATGAGAGAAGTTATGATAACAACAGTAATAAATGAGAGAAGTTATAAATGAGAGAAGTTATAAATGAGAGCAGTTATAAATGAGAGCAGTTATTTAATGAGAGCAGTTATAAATGAGAGCAGTTATAAATGAGAGCAGATAAATGAGAGCAGTTATAAATGAGAGCAGTTAAAAATGAGAGCAGTTATAAATGAGAACAGTTATAAATGAGAGCAGTTAAAAATGAGAGCAGT